AATAAATAAATAAAATAAATAAATTAAAAAAAATTTTTTTAAAAAATAAATAAAGTCCCATTTTACAGAAATTTACATAAAATCCACTAGGAGGCTTACTAACGTTACTCTCTCTAATGCTATTCTCTAAAGTCAAGCAAGGAATATCAATACATATATAATATATACAGGTACAAAACTGTCATAAAATGTCCCTAACCTTATAACAATTCCATAGTTTAGCTTAGATTTACCAATAATATTTTGACCAACATTTTAACAAAACCACATAAAAGACAAAGCATAAGCGATTTTAAGCAATTTTGGCAGAACTATATAAGACAAAACTGTATGAGGCAAAGCATGAACAATTATGAGCAATGGGCAAAGACATCAACATTTAAAACAAAAATTTGTTACGTAAGCAAGTCCTAATCCAGAATCTATGAAAGAAAAGCAAACTCATACCTCCGACCAATGATCTTGGTGGGAACCTCCAAATGACACAGGGACCTCCAAATGATATAGGGGGACAAAATGAAACTTGTGACTTAAAAGGTACCTGGGACGAGTTCATGTTCTCTAAAACCAAAGAATAAATTTTAAGAATGAATGGAGGTTATGAAAGGAATGCACTTCTTGGGGGGAAGAACACTCTGTCTGAGAGAGAGAGAGGAGGGGGACCCTGAGTGGGTGGTCCCCCAGGAAGCTGTGTCTACCAGGGACTTTGATAGAGTAAAACCATGTAGTGAGGTGGGTCTAAGGTGGTAGAGAACATGAGAGCTTGCTTAGGAGGGCATGAGGTGGGGCAAAACTATGGTCAACCAATGAGATTACAAGCACCATTGCTCAGGTAAAATTGATTAAATTCAGTACCAAATGGGGAAGCAAGTCATGTAGCAAGCAGGCGTGAATACAGGACAGGGTCTCTTCTTGTTGGGGGTTGGGCTAGTGACTCATTTGGGCTCTTTCAAGGTGATTGAAACCTATGTAGAATATCAGTCCCTGATGCCCATCCAGAGGGATATATGTAGCTAGATGTTACCTCTTTTGTCTTGGTTTTGGGGTGTGGCCCAAAATGGAGTGTCTGTCTCTTCCAAGTTGAAAGTCACCTTGTCTTCCATATTGTCTCCTTGAGGGCATGGTCCTGTCTGACTGCCTATAATATTTCTATCTATTTCAGCTGCCTGTACCACGTCTGGCTCCAAAGCACTTCTGAGTCGCCTCCTTCACTTGCTACCTCAGCTAGTATGTAATGGGCAAGAGGTGAAGGAAGCTTTCCAAACTACATCCTGCATCTGCTCTGGGTCTCGGAAGAAGTCTTGAGTTCCTTGGCTGAAAATTGGACAAGGCAGCATCCCACAGCATTTTCAGAATGCAGATATATCCTTTTGCTTTTTGTCAGTGTAGTTGGGACAGTCTGTCTGTCTGTTTCTCTCTCCCTCTCCTCTCTCCTCTCTCCCTCTTCTCTCTTCTAATGGAAGATAGGGCATATTGGGAAGGGTCGTGAGGTCATCAGAGCCAAGTCTATGCTTTTCCACCAGCACCACCCTGGCTCCTGTGTGACCCTGTCAGGGGCAGAACCTGCCCTGGATGCAGGGCTGAGCTGCAGCTGTCCCAAGGGAGGAAAGGAGGTGCTATTGAAACAGCTCAGTGTACTGCAAGTAACCAGGTGGGGCCAAGGCCTGTGCAGGCCCTGGGGAGCGAAAGGGTGGGGCCAGAGAGGTGCCAACCATTAAACTGGCTAGCCTGTGCATTCTGAGAGATGTGGAGAGGGTCATCCTGGACGCGGCAGCGCTCCAGCCTCTCCTCCAGTGTCTTGAAACCTCCAGTAACTGTGAGCTAAATAAACCTTTCCTTCCCTCATTTTGAGTGTCGGGTATTTGTCCCAGCAATGAGAGAAGAGTAACTAATACAAAAAGATAAAATAGGGATCAGAATGTATCCCTGCTTAGAAACCTCTCATTTGCCCTGCAGAATGGACCATCTCTCTCCTTTACTTGTGTGCTGCCCAGGTAGTATGAGTCCTCATGAAAGATTCCAGGGTTAGAATACACAGCTTATGGGAGCCAGGCATGGTGGTGTGTGCTCGTAATCCCAGTACTTGGGAGGCTGAGACAGGAGGATTCCTGTGAGTTTGATGCCAGCCTGGGCTATGTAGTGAGTGCAGGGCCAGCTTGGACTACATAAGGAATCTCTATCACAAAAAAAACAAAAACAAAACACAGTCCATGGGGCTGTCGGGGCTCCACTAATCATCACTCTGGTGATGAACAAGTTGCTTGCCCTTCCTAAGCCTCTGCTTCCTTGCCTGAGAAATAGGCATAAATGATGGGACCCAAGGACCACTAATGAGAAAAGCACATTCGTATCTTTTAGTCAGATTTAATCCATAAATACTCAGATTTAATGTTGGTCTTCTCCTTGCATTCAGTTTCCACCTCACACTGCAGTTTTCTTTGCTTTTGCTGCTCCCCTACACTGTGCTAACCTCAAGGGCAAGCACTGTAACTAATTCCTCTATGCACCTTTCTGGCCTCTAGCACCGTGCCCTGCTCACAGTGGTAAGAGCCAGTTGCTCCATCGATTTTTGCTTAGTTGTTTTTTTGAGATGGAGTCTCACTATTTAGTTTTAGCCTGGCTTTGTGCTTACAATATAGGCCAGATTGGTCTCAAACCTGTGATAACCCTCCTGTCTCAGCCTCCCAAGTGCTGGAATTATGGGTAAGCACCATCACACCCAGCTGCTCTACAGAGATTTGAAGAACAGACTCAGCACCTGATTCCAGGAAGTGTGGAAAGTAAAAGTCATTTAGACCAGCACCTAGACTGACCACCACTGCTGAGCCTTAGAGCCCATATAAATGCATCCTAATCCTATAAGTATATTTGATTCAGTTTTTTTTCAAGCTGGGAAAAACTTTCTAAGTCATTTATTCCAATATTCTTCATTTCTCTGAGGCCGAGTGAGAATACCATAGCTCTTTTACGTACAAAATACTGAAGCAGTACACTGTCCAGATGTTTTTAGAAGACTAAATGATACTTCTTTGTTTAAATTTTATTTTAGGGAAAGGTCTACAGGGTGTTCAGGGTCTCACTACTAGATTGAACTCATAGTGATCTGCCTGTTTACAGCCTCGCAAGCACTGGGATTACAGGCATGGATCGAACCCCCGGCCCCTGTGCCTGCTTGCAGGTGCATTAATCCACTGAGCTATTTGGCTGGCCCTAAATGATACTTCTTCAGTTCTAGTTTCTCCAAATCAAGGTTCCTCCATTTCAGCATTTGATATTTGGGGCTAGATAATTCTGTGTTGTGCAGGACTGTCCGGTGCATTGTGGAATGCTTTCCAGGATCCCTGGCGTTTCCACTAAGTGCCACTCCTTGGGCTGCACCCTCTCCCTTTCTCCTTGATCACCACTATCACAAATGTTTCTAGACATTGTGAAATATTCTGCAGTGAACCACTGGTCTAGACAGTACTTTAGAAAAAAACCCCTTCCTTTGAAATGCTGAGGGCCTCGGGCTATCCTATCTAATAAGGTTGTTTTAATGAATAGTTTGCTAGCAAATCTCATTTGCAAAAGCTCTGGAGATAAGACAGAAGTATCCTGCAGTGAGGGCTGGCTTCAGCCAGGACTTGAGCCCTTGCATAGTGCCTGTGTGTGTCATTCATTCATTCACTCATTCATTCTATCTTGGCTACTTCTGGGGGTCTCAGAAGTGGCTCCAATTTCTTTCTTTCTCCGAACACCTGCCTCTGTCTGTGCATTGTCCAGGTATCAGGACTGTATGTGGAGTACCCTTTCCTATCAGAGCCCTCTTTACATTCTATTTTGATCTCCTGTTTGTCTCTCTGCCTCATGGAGGGTTATAACCATCTTTTTCATCATCACCATTCCCAGCTTTTGGCTGGCACACAAGGACTGTCTGAGGTACATCTGTTGAATGCATATGTAATAGAAAGAGTAACATGGCATGTTAAGCTGTGGGTCAAAAGCATAGACTCACCAGGCGTGGTGGTGCATGCCTGTAATCCCAGAATTTGGGAGGCTGAAGCAGGAGGATCACTGTCAATTTGAAGCCAGCCTGGGCCATAAAATGAGTTCAAGGCCAGACTGAACTAC